GAGAGAGAGTCTGAGTGTGAAATTAAATTGCGTTGCTCCGTTTCTAATAAGACAATGAAATGGAGCTGTCAAACGGTTCAGTGTGGTATTTTTCGTTTCCCACCGGTTCCTGAATTGTCAAGGCGTTATTTCTCTATTTAAAAAAAATAATAATTTTGTATAGGCAGGTAAGGGTCTCTTGATGTCCTTCTGTTTCTTAAGCGAGTTTGTATCGGACCCAAAAGCGTCAGAAGACGAGAAATACAGGAGACCGATGTGCAGTTTCTCTCCTGTCTGTAATGACCTGTTGGACCAGTGTAGGCCGACAGGCTGTGTGGAAACTAGTTCACTCTGTTTCGTTCTTTTGTAAAGCAGCAATTCGATTGATCAGGATGGGTGTAAATAACGTGTCGTGCAGTAATTTGATTCATCACGATAACAGCAGACAAAACAGAACCATTGAACACAAACTGGCTGAAGTTTTCCTTATCTAGATGAAGTCACAAACCCTGGATTTAACCCACTTCTATTTACATGACCGAGTTTACTAACCTGTTCAGAGCCACGACGAAGTATGTCGAAGCAGACGACGTTAAATAAACGAGTTGGTGTACCGATTGAAACGAAGTGCTTTTAAAAAGGCTTTAATTCCCGTATCTTGGCGAGATTTTGTTTTGTGGCCCAGATTTTTCAGCGCCAAATTAAACCGCGGTGACGTTTTTTTTTAATGTGATTTTTTTTTAAACGATTGATCAAGAAAGGATTAGACAATTACTCAAGATCGAAAATCCGCAGAAAATAAACGCCTCGACTGTGTTGGACGTTCGAGGTGATAAAAGCCGCTATCTTGAGTAATGTTATTATTGGTAATCAAGAACCCACGCTGCAGATAATCTTTGCCTCAGGCCCTCTTTTTCCGCTGCAGGACTCGGGAGACAGATGCTGAGCTCGGCGATAGCCGCTGGATTTGGGTTTCCAGCTGTCCAGCCGAAGATCACAGAAGGTGCTCTTACCTTTTAACGCGCGCTAACGCGACTTTGTCGATTCGGTTCAAGAGATCGAGATCGGCGCCGATCAATTCGATTAATTGCACCCTGTGTCCCCTTGGCGTAGCCTGCCTATTCTCAGCACTACCTGGGCACTATCTGCTAAACATCACCTGCTGTCCGCAGCAACAGCGAAATCATCAGTAACAGCCACGTTAAAAACAAACGGCATAAAATAGTAGTGTTGGCATGAGGGAAGTATACTATAGCTGTAAAATTTAAGCCGGATATGACTTTCATCTTTATTATTATTATTATTATTATTATTATTATTATTATTATTATTATTATTATTATTATTATTATTATGTTCAGATTGTGTCCAGTTTGGGGTTGGGATTTCATGAAATACTGACAACAACAAACTCCAGGAAAGACACATTCATGTTCCGTCCCCTTTTACGAAAGCATTTACCCAACACAGGTCCAAAGTTCATCTTGAAGTTTGGCTGATAAACCCTGCCAATAAAAGGGCCAGTGATCTAGAACAAACACGGGGAATTCAGCGTACCTGCAGCTCAGTCAATAGGGCCCAGTTTCTCCCTCCTCGTTTGCATACTGATTCAAGTCAGCCGGCCCACTCATTACCATATTTTATATGGCTTTCACAGAACATCATGGCAAATTAAATCACTCTCGGCTCCAGGGACACAAACCACCTAACTGAGAAGCAGCAGGTGCTTATTGAGAGAGGAAAGCACACGGGGGAGAAAGAGAACATTTCGTTCCCCATTTCTCTTTTATTTCTTTTTTTTTCCCTCTTCCTTTTCCCCCTTTTTGGTTTTTTAATGTTTGAGAAAATGGTCTCCAAACTGACCACTCTACAGCAGGAGCTCCTGAGCGCCTTGCTGAGTTCCGGAGTCACCAAGGAGGTCCTGATCCAGGCGCTGGACGACCTGGACCCCAGTCCCAACGGCTTTGGAGTTAAGCTGGAGAACTTGCAGATGTCGCCGCCGAGCTCCAAGCTGAGCGGCGGCGGCGGCGACGCGGATTCCAAGCCCGTGTTCCACACCCTGACCAACGGGCACGGGAAGGGCGGCAAGCTGTCCGGCGACGAGGGCTCCGAGGACGGCGACGACTTCGACACCCCGCCGATCCTGAAGGAGCTCCAGTCGCTCAACACCGAGGAGGCGGCGGAGCAGAGGGCAGAAGTCGACCGCATGTTGAAGTGAGTTTCACGTCCGCGACGGTCCCCCGGTCCTTGGCGAGCAGATGTACTCGTCAAAAAAAAAAAACAGTTATCTCCCCACTTCCAAGAACAACTCGGCTGTATATTCCTAAAATGTCATTTTAGAAACGAGGGCGGCGATATAGAATTTTTATATCGATCTAGTTAAAATCCAAATGTATTTTTTTCCGTTTTGCTCTGCGATATGTTGCATATATATCTATAGTTCCACACCTAAACATTTCACAATCTTCGTTATTTCAATTACCCTTCCTTTGAAATTATTTGATGTTTGAAATCACCGGACATAATCGGAAGTTTGTCTGAAAAACCCTAAAAAAGCGCTTAAGTGACATTAAAATATAGTAGACGCGTTTGACAAATCAACAAGTGCGAGAGATGGAGCGGGTTTAAATGAAAACAAATTTTATGACAAGAACCATTAAAACGAACTAGTCTATAAATATTCGCGTGTTATTTTTTAAACTTCATTACGGATATTGTATCCTCCAAACCGTATTTTTCGTTGTATTTGGACGGATCGAAGTGCAGCAATATTTTCCCTTAACAAGTCCATGCAAGGCAAACTTGTTTTCGTGACTGCCAAACCGAGAGAAGCCCGTAAACGTTTGCATTACAGTGAATAAAAAGGTAAAACGTTTGTACGGTAAATTATAAATTTAGCTACAGAGCATTTGTCCTTATTAGGGGCGTACGCAGACACGCCCGATAGGTACAGGAAAAATCCAAAATAAAAATATGTTTTTGCTGGATATGAAAAATCACACCAGCAGTGACCACGTCGCTAGGAGTTCCGAAAAAATGTCTCTCACGTTTTGCAAATTTAAAACAACCCGCCGGTATTTGTACGATCACATTCCAGTTACTAATTATCTAAATAGTTTATGATTTCTTTACCTTAGCAAAATATCAACTAAATAAGAGCAATCTAATTTATTATTAACTACCGCAGCACAGGCTGCCTTACCACAAGGCGTCGAAACGACAAAAGAGTTTATTTTTATTATTATTAAGCGCCACAATGGAAATACATTATAATTTCCTTTCCATTTATGATAAGCCTATATTTTGTAATTGTGGTTATTTTCTGGGTTCTACCAAACTCGGGAATAAGAGTATTTGAAAACATTTTCATAATTTCTACTGTTGTGTATCTGTCACACGCCTGTACGGCGTAACCAGTAATGGAAAAAGGTAACGAATAAAAAGCACACTATTATTAATAATCGACGTTATTCTGCATTAGAACATCACTAAGAGCTGTCGTTAAGTTAAGCCAGGTAGGCGTCTTACTTTTTGTTTTGTTTTTTTTTCCTGTGAAAAAAGTGTCCGAGGGGCTTTGTTTTTTTTATATTTTAGCCTTCTGAAAACGGGATGAAATATTCCGTTTTTTTTTTCTGAACAGTCATATAGCGGCCTTACAACACGACCTGGCCAAACCCGGCGGGTGACAGGAGAGGAATAGAAACCGGAGCACGTGTAGCAAAGTTGTTATTAATTTTATTCTATAAATCATCAACTGAAAGACACACAATAGCGTTTGATTAGGGTGAATGGAGACCTGGTTATTCATTGCCGAGCGTTATAAACAAGCTCTTCAGACGCGCAGTCTTCGTCGGTATTCACCAAGGCAAACAGTCCTGTTTGGGTTAGCAAACGTCTAGAACCGAGGCGAATTCAATCCTCAATCCAGCCGGACCGCGGGCCGTGGGGATGTTGCTGGAGCCCCTAGACGAGCGAGCACACCTTGAGCCGAGCGCGGTAGGAACATTCTCCGAAAACTCGCACCTTCGTGAATATGATCGCCTTTCGATCCGACAGATCTGTTATCGGAATCTGTAATTGGTTTCTTTAATATTTATACAACGGTGGCGTATTTAATGAAATGCGTAAAGTAGATAGGTATTATCAAGATCGTCTGTTTAAGTTTATAAAGGAGACCAGAAAATGCGGGGAATCGGTTTTTGTTTTATTCTTATTTTTTTTCCTTTTGTTGAATTCTGTTTTATTTTAATTTTCTGGTGAATTTTTATAAATTTCCCTATTCTTGCTCGTGCTGTTACTCGTATCCGGATCTTTAGTAAATTGATAACAAGAAGGAAAGTGTGACGCGCTTTTAATGCAGACGTGTAATATAGCGTCGCGAATATTATTGCGGCGATCGCCGTTCTTTAGATTTTACAGGTGCCGGTTGTATTTGTATCCTAATTATGTCAAGATATTGCAGACTTTTAAATATCACTAGGGACAGTCAGGTCGGTGCACAAAATCATGTAGAGTCTCGTTTAATTTGAAAATGTATTATTATTTTTTTTCCTGGAATCATTACCACGACACAAACAATGCGGATTCTCAAATATGTCCCGGGTTCACAGACGCTCTATAAGTTATATACAGCGGTATAGGTTTTTGGGGATTTATGGAGATGTTTTAAGCGGGTGATTTTAAATCATTTCTCTGGTTAAGGCTCGCCGAGTCCGGGTGAGGTTTCTCTAAAAAAAAGGCAAAGCGACGTTACGATTTGTGGCCTAACCAAAACCGTATATTGTGCATTAAAAATGACTCCAGACACCAAGTTGTAAATTATGCCGGATCAAATAAACAAATCCACAGGAGTAATTAGATCGAAAACGTCAAGACGCCCCGTAATTAATCTCCCGGCTCTTCAAGCGTGTGGAAGAGCTGTGAAAGGAGTCATCTGTTTTGTTCTTTGGGGCCTCTTTAATCTTGAAGTAAATTCATTTAAACTCCAGTCTGACTGTATGCAGACGTCGCGGGCGTTTTTCTCAGCTGCGGTTTATAATCCCGTCCCAGCGAGGACCGGCAGCGGGTTTCTCGGCCTTCTCACCTCCCGGAGGCCGAGTTCAGCCGCGCCTGGATTTCCAGTTCGTGGCAAGCGAAGCCACCGGCGGCTTTCGGCTCAACGTGCCAGCCCGCAGAAAGGGCGAGAGAGAGAGCTGTTGCGTGACTTTCCAACGTTTTGACACTGTTTGACGGCGGTCTGTGCTTCTTACACATATATAAATAACTGACACGGCTGT